AAATATTTGGTCAATACGCCGCTCTCTTTTAATCTTCCTTATTTAATTACATTTCTCTGTTATCATGGACAAGCCTAAGAAATTACATACTTTTATGTAAATTCAAATACAATATAAAATGCTTACCAATAACTTTTCTGTGTCATTCATTTTATATACATTTATATAAAAACATTTTTTATAAAATTATCTGCAGGTATTTTTGTACCTTTTAAATTCAGGCACGCTTAAAAAGTATAAATATAGTATTAATAGTATGAAATTAAGAATTGTATTTTGGCTGGCTGCTTAACATGCTTACATGATCGTTACCAAAAAGAACGTATTCGTTATGTGATTGTATCACATGGATCTTATATATTCATATCTACTTTAGCCTACCTGGATATTGGATATTATTTCATTCATTGTAATAAATATGACACATTCAAAATATTTCAGAATGTAAATGTTAATAGACAATACAATCAACTCAACCATGGAGGTTTTCTGGACCTCGACAAATTATCTCTAAAAACAATAAAAGATGTCAATAAGATAAGCTCAGATTCATCTCTTAATCGAACCGGGAATAGAAATATAATTTGAATAATTAAGCTCTTGACAGATCATAACAGTGAAATTTTGTGTCCGCCTTATACTCTTATCAAGAATGGTGTCTTCCTAATATTTAAACAAGCTTAATTAAAAACAATAAATTCTACATGTTGTATTATTATATTCGAACAGGCGCAATTAAGGAAAATCATTTTCAAATTGTAGAAATAGGTAAACAGTATGTTTTAAGATAAACAGTTTTTAGATAATATCTGAAATTATTTATACATAGAATACAAATAATTATCTAAAACTTGTAAATTAAATTTTAATTTAAAAGCTTTATAGAAAAATTCGATTTACGAAATTCATATTTTCCCTCATATGTGCAGAATGTACATATTTTTCGTCAACAACAAATTATATATAAAAAATTGTCATTAATAGTTAGTTTAAAGTATTAGTAGATAATATTTTAACTGCATTAAAAAATACATACATATGTATATAGACATGAAAACAACGCAGAACAGACCAGTTAGGAAAATGAAATCGTAGTTTGATAAATCACATTTGTAACAATAAAATTTGAAATTAGACAAAACAAAAAAATTAACCAAATTATGGTTCTAAAGTCCAGTATGACTTGTTTGTAGTTGTTCTATTGAAATTGATAACTGTTCTAGCCGCTGTACTAGTTGTAACATGTTTTCTTGTGCTTTTGTTGCATTTAAATCGTTGCCATTCTCAAGTGAATCTTCCTCAGCAGCAGCCAATTCAAAATGCAGTTTTGCTAAGCTCTCTTGCTGTTCACGAATTATTGTCATTTGATCCATTGTACCACCAGAACCTAGAGGCATACAAACAACATTAAAATTTATTAAATATATACATGTATACGTATGTATGTATGATAATAGAAATACAGTACCAAAAGCTTTTAGCTTTCCTGAATGAAAATCATCTAAGAGACCCAACAATGCACGCTCCATATGTTTAACATCGGGAACTTCTGACACAAAGGAATGATGTTTAATTGGTCGATCTTCAAATTTACTACTATGGTCATTGGTGCTAAGTACCGGAGGAGCATTTGTATATCCATTACTTGCTTTCCGCCGACTTAGTGTCGGTGTATTATTGTTGCTTTTTGTGTCATTATTGTTATTGTTACTGTTGTTATTGTTGTTGTTATTATTATTATTACTGTTGTCGAATGTTTCACTACTTATGTGCGTTATGCTATTTATGCTATGTTGACTACTGCTACCATCATGTATGCCAATTTCTGTTAAATTTTTAAGTGGACAGAACAATTGCATATTACATTATTTTTGTAGCAGCGGCAACGACAGTGGCAACGGCAACAGTAATAACAGCACAATAGTCAATGTGCCAATGTGCCAATGTATGAAGATAAAAATTTGTTGTAAAATGAAAATAATCCAGTGCGTGTTTGAATACGTAAACAGCAAATAAAGTACATAAAAGAAATATGTGTAAGAAATGAAAAAATTAAATTAATAAAAATAAAAATGTAATTTCTAAACATTAAAATCAATTACTAATTTAAATCAAATAACGCAAACATTATGGATAAATAAAACTGTGCAGCCATGTATGATGTCTTTAATGGATCTTCAATAACATTTTGTTCTTATGAAATTATACAAACTCTACTTGTCAAATTTAGGAACAATTCTTGCAATTGAACTTTATTTTCTAAAATATTCCTCACAATAAAATTTAAAGGTTTATTATATTTATTTTATAATTGAATTTGAATTTATATAAATGGTCATTACATTAAAATTGGGAATTTCTTTACACTTATAGCACAAGATTTTGTGAGCATACCCCTGCCTATGCTTTAAGTTAAAGCATAGGCCTTTAACCATTGATAAATGATGCCACGAATCCTATTTCCAATATTAAGTTTATTATTGCTATAACTTTCGGCTAAGTTTAAGAGGGAGCAGCACCTATTTGCTTAACTTTACTACGCCTTTATTCCGAAGCATACTGGATTGCTAGTTGAAAACAATTTTCTGCGAATTAAGTTTTGATTCTACTGATTATCAGTTCGTATACATGGAATATGGTTGTGTGTGAGTATGAAAAACTACATCTCGGAAGAAAACGATAAAGAAATTACGCATATCCCAGTAGAAAAAGTGATCTTCGAAGACATTGTCTTCAAGACGGTCTTTGATACCGCGTCCGCATATTCAAGCAAATTTGCAAAACAATTGCTCAAAACATGAATGTAAATACTCTTTCTTTGCTTTCTCTCTCATTTTTAGTGATCATAGCAACGTATTTGAATTTTGCCTCAGATGACGCTATGTTTTATAAATGAAGTGACGCAATAATTTTGAAGTGTAGTAAATAAACATTAAAGTAGTAAAGTAAATAAACATTTGTGAAATAAATATTAAAAAAATCAAAATGAATAAAGAAACAAAATCATTAAACTATGAAATATTAAAAAAAAGAAATTAAATCAAAACAAATTAAATATTGACTTAGCTCCTGGAAAATATATTGATATTAATATTGAAGACAATAATTCCAGTGAAAGTTGTTTTAGAAACGAAACAAAGGATGTTGAAAATAAAAAAAACTGAAAACACTTGTGAAAAATTAGCTGTTATATTTAAAAAACACAGGATTAACAGGCGTTGTAGTAATGATATTTTAGAACTCTTAAGATCAGAAGGTTCAATTGTACCAAAATTCTTTTCAACGCTTTTGAAAACATATAAAACTTCAACAATTGATGATAGCGAAATGCTATAAATTATTTTATATTAATTTTAGTTAATTTTAGATATGCTAAGTTATATTAAGTTAAATATTTAAATTAATTTTCATTATGTTTTCTTAGTTTTTAAGTTTTATTGTTTAATTTAATTTATTTTTAATGGCTTAATAAAATTTATAATTTACTTTTAATTTTGAATGTAATGTAAAAAATTATTATATAAAATAAATAAAAGTACAAAATACAACAATTTCTTTCTACTTATTTAAAGAGAAAATTGAAATTTATTTAAAATTTAAAGAGCGCAATAAAAGAGTAGAAATAAAAAAAAGGGTGAAAAAATTATATGAGCACTGCACTAAGAGCGCACAACTTTCTGTCGAATGCGTCCGTTATGCAAGACATGGTCTTCGAGAATGTCTTCGAGACTTGTACGCAATAATTCATTGAAGACATTTGGCTAATTTGTATGAAAGTGTCTTCGAAGACCGTCATACATTTGGATCGATCGGTCTTCATGTATGTATCCATGTCTTGAAGACGTCTTCGATGACGGATCGATCCGTTTTCTACTGGGATATATTGCATTAATCACATTTTCACTCTGAAAATACATATTTAAATGACATTATTTGCTCATAAGGAATTTACTTTGGTTTTAGGATCGACTTCCCGGAGCTTGTTGTCTAAGTTGTACGCATCAGTTTTCAAAGAAACTCAAAGAGCAAATATAATTTTAGGGTTTTCAAAAGTGTTATAACAATAGTTTATATTTGTTGACATATCTAACATTTAATAATAATTCGGAATATTTCTTAAAGAAAAGGACTAGATCCTCTAGTAGCTACATCTGTATAACCATATTTATTTTGTAAAAATTAATAAATTGAATTTTAACGTTCGTTTTGACAAAAGAAACTAAATTGCTATTATAAACTATTGTGTTCAATAGAAATGTATTTCGAGTAGTATTAAATTACAACAATAAAAATTTATTATTTTATTGAATAATTGAAATTTCATTAGCCAACTGACCCAAAGCTTTATTTGACTTGTATGTTTGAACAAGTTCATTAGTTGGCTAATGAACAATGACTCTAAGCTTCAAATTTGGCAGAGCACGAGTTCAACTCTTGGTACTTGTAGTCTCAAAAAATTATTTTTGAATAATAAAATATAAGAAATAATTCGAAGACTACCGTGATGGGTATTTGGCAACACTCGAAACAGCTGTTGGCAACACTCAATTAATTAATAAAATAATAAAATTTTGTTATTGTAAAGTAAAAATTAATACTAATTAAGCGCACATTTTCTGCATACTTTTAAACAGAACTCCTGGAAACTTTAAATATACAATTTTTGCTAGAAAGAAAAGATGTTAAAAACAGTAAAACCTGTCCTTTTATACTAATAGCATTGACAAAGGGGAGCGAAATTATCATTAAGGGGCTAAGTTATAATTTATTTGCTCACTTAGCAGATTTAAATGATCATTTATGGTCTTTAAATGACGGAATTTAACCCAAGTTATTTCTCGTTTAGGTTGTTAGAAATGGTAATGCTGCATATGCAAGTTAAACGAAATAAACATTTTAACAAATTTCAAGCGGTTGATTGGTTGTCAAAGTGTAAACAATACAGATTTGCGAACAATGTTCTTCTTGCTGTGAATTTAGTTTTCATAGTAATAACATTTGTAGTTTTAAATTGAACAAATTAAAGCGAGTTTCTTTAATTTTACTTGCTTATCCATTTTGAATTTAAAATTCTCTCACTTTTTCAATAACAAAAAACATATGATACAGCTACTTCTTAATGATAATTATACCGTCTGTCAGGGTATTTTTAAAATGATCATTTGAGGCTGTTTAATGACAATTATGCGCGCTCGTCTGTCAATGCTATAAGGGTTTAATACATTGTATTAAATTGCCGAGCAAATTTTTACAAATAGCATCGATGCTATATAAAATATACAAATAGACAATAACTAACTTAACAAGAAACTGGATGAGAATGCCAGCAATCTTACAATGAAAACTCCCATTTATAAACCAATTGAAGAATAGGCGTGGAAATTAAATAGATCATGGTCTATGAATATTTGAAAATAAACAAAAAAATAATTGCTAATAAAACTGCAATAAACAAATTAATTTGTTTGATTCATTTTAAGCACAGAGATGCAGATGATTTCGTATCTTGTGTAAAAAAAATAAATACTACGTTAATGAACTCCTCCAGAATGTAAAGCACCACGCCCATATATACTGTAAATACACTATTGATGGTACATAAAACTTATTATAACTTATTTACCTTTCAGTAATTTTCGCGGACGAGATTTAAATTCAAAACGTTCATCATTAGTATTATAAAGATGTGGCCTTGGTCGACGTTCATTTACATAGGTCACTTTTGCCGAAGTTTGGCCTTTCTCGGAAATAGTACGCTCAATCGAGCAGGAAGCTGAATTGCGACTACGTGTAGTATCACCACTGGATATACTTTTTACCTATAGTAAATAAATAAATTTAATTGCTGAAGTTTTGAAAAATATATATACATATAGATGTCATATAAAAAGCAATATGTACATTTATATTTGGCGGTACAGGGGAAGCCGGCGTGGGCGCTGATTTCGGCGCACTCTGTGGAGCTGTTGTCACTTGACTTGTAGGCTCTTCTTCTGTTTCTACATCATTAGGTACTAGCTTTTGACGTTCAACGACTTCGTCATTTTGTTCCATATTTATTGAAAAATTCGGTTTTGTATTTCTTCTGTTACCTCTGTTAATGTTATTGAAAAAATTTAGAATTTGTTTTATAAATATTAATTTACTTTATATTTACTTACTATAAAACAACTTAGATTCTTATACCAAGTTTGAACTCTGCGAATCAACACTATAAATTTTCATGTTCATAAATTAACAAAATAACAAACAATTAAACAGTATATTTAGTTTACTTAAAAAAAACACATAGAAAATGCAACAATACAAAATATGTGAACTAAACAAATTATAGTTCACTGATATCAACTAAAATAAAAATGATCTCGTTCGAAACAAATACATAAGCACATGAACTGGACTGAGACATTATTTTTTAATATTTATTATCAAATACTTTTATTACTGCTTCTCCACCCAGTTTTGATATACAGAACTGTCAAAATATTTGCTACGCTGTAGAACACTGAAAAACGCCGAATTGTCTGTTTGAAAGCAATAATACTCGGCTTCAATTTTAAAATTATGTACTATTATGGTCGTGTGCGAGTTAGGCTGTATTAAAAATACTAATATATAACAAATATTTAACGAAAAAGTAAAATATGAATCTGCATAAATAAATATATTATTATTGCAGAATTCTACAATCAAACTTATTACAGTTTAATAATTGAAAAATGTGATTATTTTCAATAAAGTTTAGGACCAACATCCATTTCGCACAAAAAATTAAACACCATATAAAAAAAAAGGTGCACAAAATTTTGACATTGTGGAAAATATTTTTTATATATCATAAAAAATGGATGGTAGTACTACAGCAATAGTACTTAATGCAGAACCAAAATAATTGCCTGAATTAAAGCATTGAGTAAAAATATTAATTAAAGTCAGTCATGCTGGCCACCGAAAACTCACAATTCGGTGAGTTACTCACAATTATTTGTGCTATCATTAATTCTTGGATATGATACCCACCAACTTTAACTATGTCATCGTCATGTTATCTATTTATTCAAAGAAAACTATTATAAACTACTAAAAAAAGGAAATGCTGGTTTTTGATAAGTATGAGCAGTAAATATTATCAAATAAGGAATAAAATTTTACTGAGTTACTACTTGAGATAAAAATGAAATCCGTATGTCGGTTCTGAGAAGACAACAGAGGGCTTCAAAATGAGTTTGAACATTAAATAACCACAATCCAAATAGAAAAGAAATAAGGCGATGTTAATTAATAGCTAATAATAATACTAATAACTCATAAATTAAAAATAAAAACAACATATAATTATATGTATATATAATTATATAATTAGATTTTATATAAAATACTTCGAGTTAAAAAAGAGTAAAAGTGCTTTAAGTGCACTGACTCAGATAGCTTCAACATAATAAATAATATATGAAATATTATAATTATATGAAATATAAATTTGATAAACTTATTTTTATATTTTTATGTATTAATTATATATTTTATAAAAAAAAAAAAAAGGTTTAAAAAAAAATTCTTACCTGTTGTTTGTTTTGAATTCTGACTGTTTGTTTATGTTTATGTCATGTGTCAAATATGTCAAATTTCGATCATTTCCAATGTTGCATTCGTCATATTTGGTATAACTTTGGTCAAATTTTGTTTACTATATTCTATAGTAAATGAAAAAGCACGGAAGCTCTTTGTATGGTTAATGCAATTTACTCAGTAAAAGAAGCTTACTAAATACGTAGCGGAAACGTTCTATTATACTATGTACACACTGTCTCATTAAGGGTCATGTTATGCAGATGGTCTCGGGCACGGCAAATTACGCTCTTTCGGGCTATGCCGAAAATGCATGTTATGCAGAGTGTCATATCAGTATTGCCAATTTTGTATTTTTACTACTTCTTGGTTGTGCCTTAATTTAAAAGGAAATTTAGATAGGCTCACTTTCAATTTGCCACCAAAAATAACTCGCATGAAAAAACTCATAGAGGCTGTAATAATGTTAATTTATTTGTATTTTTACTACTTCTTGGTTGTGCCTTAATTTAAAAGGAAATTTAGATAGGCTCACTTTCAATTTGCCACCAAAAATAACTCGCATGAAAAAACTCATAGAGGCTGTAATAATGTTAATTTATTATTATATTATCTTATAATAATTGTTAACAGTACTTACGCGTTTCTTTAAAATCGGAAAGTGTAATAATTATATTATTAGTGATTTATAAAAAAAATGCTGTGTTGCTTACTGCCATTTTTTCTCCAAAACGTATTACAATTGTAGTTATTTGCTCCTTAAAGGGGCAAATTTTGAAATTTATTACTAAACAACACTTTTTTGCCTTAGTGCCGGGGCACAAATACATCGGCTCTCATGCCGGAGTTCGAACGGCCATACTGTTTTTTCTCTCACTCTCAAATTTAAAATTTGCATTGAAAACAACAACAATTGTACTCATGCCGTGCCCGAGACACGCTGCATAACATGGCCCTTAGACACTTGCTCATTTATATAAATGAGAAACCGTTCACTCTCTAATGAGCTCATTTATACAGCTTTTAGAACTTTTATATGTCAAAAAAGCTATAAAAGAACTTTCTTTTGTTTACAAATAAAACACAAAGAAAAATGTCGGTATTATATATAATAAATATTTTAAAATGGGAAGCGCGGAAAATTTAAAAAATATAATATATAATGTGTGAAATTATTAATATTAGAAACGAAGCAATATTTGAATATTGTAAATGTCGTGTAATGCACCAAAAAATTAAAAAAATGTACTGGAAATAGTAATACTTTTCACAATAATTGTTAGGAACCGGTGGAAGTGCTGGACTTTATTGCGGTCATTAAATAAAGTTTAAAATTGTGATTATTAAATAAAGTTTAAAATTAGCATTTTTTTTCCCAGAAAAGAACAAAGAAATTCTGGGAAGTGGATTGACAGAAAAATGGTCTAAATTTTCTCAAAAAAAATTTTCGCATGAGTTTGAAATGTTTTAAGGAGCTATGTGAATTGTTGAAAGGACTACAGAAAGAAGACACAACTTTTCGGATTTCCATTTCTTTGGAAAAGATAATTGCCAATGGGTTGTATTGCCTACGGTCGTCACCTGAATAAAAAAAGGGTATTTATTTTTTAAAATGTTGATTTCTAGAGACATGCCAATGCGACAATCAAGGTTGAAAGTTTTGATTCGAAAAACAAATTATAATTAAAAATAGAGTAGCGAATAAATTTATAATTTCTGGTCGAAAATCGATTTATTTAATAACTTAAAAACAGAAATAAATAAAAGGACGAAAATGTTACTTAAATGAATTTAACTAAAAACAAAGATAAAGTATACGAACGAATTTTATGAAAAGCAATTTTCACACAAAAGCGAACTGTTTTTCGTTATTTTTTGTTTTGCAGTTCACTAAATGCTTAAAACTGAAGTCTAAACACTTAAAGTTCTTTTAACCTAAAATTGGCGACTAACGTATTATAAAAGTGGATATAAACATACTAATAGATGAGTATTGTTTAGGTATTAGAATTATCACATTACAACTTACATTATGAATATTATAAATATTATAATAAAATAATTATTTCAACGCAATTATAATTTGTTTTATTTCTGTTTTACAATTGCATTAACATATAAACGTTCTAATCTTCTATTCTAGTTAAGTATAATCTATTATGAAATTCTATGTACTAATTATAAATATAAAATGCTTTATCATATATTATTAAACTCTCTACTTTTATTAAAATTTTTGCGGACTTGTAAAAAGTTTTAATAAAAATATAATATAAAAGATATAGAAGTAATAGAAAAAATATTTTAATTATTGGTTGTGATTTAAAAATATACGATTATTGAATTTATTAAGGTGTCAGCCATTTAATTAGTTTTAAATGTTAAATTTAGTTGTAAAAACGCTTGCAAATTATTGCTTTCACAAACTCACATGATTTTATAGAGCGAGATTCCTAACATTATATGCATTCATTTTATTATCCGCAAAGTAATCAATGAGTGCAAGTAATTTGTTACTGCATCTGTTGTATTGTGTGTTGATATCTATTTTTGAAACCAAAACTTTAGAAAACACTTAACCTTTGCAACTGTCGTTTAGTAGCTGAGTAGGTAATTATGTGAAAATAATTAAAGTGATATAATATGAAAAATAATTAAAAATATATATACTTGGAAGATGAATGAGAAAAAAAAATCATAATTTAAAATAATAAAATATAAAAATAAATTAAAAAAAAATTTTAATCAAAAATATTAATACATTTTAGCATTACATAATAAAAGAAATCCAAGCATGGCGCTACAAGAAGCTTTTGAAAAAAATCTTAAAAAATTTCAGGTAACAATAAACTCTATGATCCAATTATTAACACTAATAAAACAGTTTACAATGGTCAATTTGTTTACAATTCAATAATTACAATATTACAATTTATAAAAATATTGAATACAATACTTATTTTTGATATTAAATTGAATAAATTAAATAAATTTTATCCACATTTTTTCATTTCAGGCTAAAAATGATTTACCCGTATTTTTAAAAGGCGGACCAGCGGATAAAATTCTATTTGGTATTACTATTGCCTGCTGTGGTCTTGGACTAATGGGTATTGTTCAAATGGCATATCAAATGGGTTTTAAAAAGAAATAAGGTTATATATATACCACAAATATGGACAACAACATTAAAAATTTGCTAAAATAACCGAAATGAAATATAAACACTATTAAATCTGTGAATAGATTATATAAATATATAGTTTATTTCAATTAAGATATTTTTCATTGTGACTGTTCAGTTAAAAGTGACTGTTCAGTTAATTGTTATAAATATATTAAAATTTTCTTTCAAAATGATTTTATATAAATATTCTACAAAAATAAAGTCCTTCGATTGCTTAGATGACAGAACGATCGGCTGTAAAAGAAAAAGTTTATCTTTATATATATAAAGACAAAAGATATTTATATCCTGCACATTTGACCCAATGTGTCAAGACAATCAACTCTTTGCAATATTTTCGTTCATAGTCAAATTATGAACGCGTATAAAAGAAATGAAAATCATTCCTTTTATACTACTATTCATGCCGGACATTAATTTCGTTGCAAAAAACTTTTCTTAAAAGTTTGCTTCAATACTGTTAAATGTAATAACACTACCCACAGTTATGTGTATATAGAGCGCACAATACTGCGACAGATAAATTTGGATGATATCGCTATGTTCCGTTTAGTACTTATTATGCTGTAATGTGAAACAAAAAGAACTTAATTTTATTTCCTATATTGCATAAGAAAGTAACTCATTGAAGTATAGCTCATACTTAATATATTGGCAAAATTCAAAATTCAAAATTTAATACATCATACAGTTGAGCTATTCCCTTTAAATGACGGTGGTCACAACACTTAATCATTGATAGATAAAGCTTAATATACTTTTTTAACTTTTTAAATAGAGAATTAGTTCAAACTCATAAATAATGAAATTAAAAACGACAATTGAAATTTGTATTGGTGTTATATGTTGATAATAGGTCTGTTCTACGATCTATTCGTAGTAAATTTGAGTAACACTATGTATACACAAGTGCGTGACACTTCGGTCGTTTTGTTTGTTTTTTATACAACTCATAATGTGGACGGAGAAAATCATTGAACTAGTAATTCAAATTATAGTCTTTAATATAGTCAAAGCTATTAAAGAACAATTAGGTGTTTTAGTAACAGATGGAACATATTTCACTAGTTTAGAAATGTTATCTTTAAAATTAAATTCTTTATATTAAAGTGGTAATGTGTCCAAAAATAGCATCATTTGCGAAAAGAAGTATGTAACATTATTTTGTTACACTTGAAAACTCGTCCGATGGTTAGTAAATATGATTTAGGAGTAATATCCCTGTTTCCTGCATCCCTGTTCTATGTAAGTTTTTTAGATGAAATTCTCTCAAATAATAGGTCTGTTCCACGAGCTACTCGAAGTAAAACTTAAGTAAAACACAAGTAAAGTACAAACTGAGAACGTAAAACAAATAAAGTGCCAAATTATGCTCTTTACACAGATTTTAATGGAACAGCTTTGTGCAAAGTCTGGTGAGAACACCAGTGCCGAGTAAATAAACAATACAAAAACTTAAATTCAAACCAAAATAGCTGATTGAAATAAAATGTACTAGTAAAGTCTGTGTAGCATTTTTAAATTTCTACAGGGATGTTAAGTTCTCTCAGATGCTCTCATTTGTTGGTGGAACGCACTTGTGTATACACAGAGTTACTCATAGTTACTATGAGTTGCTCGTGGAACAGACCTAATATACATAGTTTATAAAATTCATAGATACAAATCAATGATTTGATTTCAATTTGTTGGGTAATTTATTCTAAACCAACTGGAGAAAAATATTTGCGCTATTCAGTGGACAAAAATTATAATCATTTTTCTTATCAAGTTGGGCAAATGTTTTCTGAATTTGAGTTCAAAGAGTATATTTTTACAAAATCTAAGTTTAAAATTCAAAAATAAGTTTTATTAAAAGTAATGATCTCTATAGTTCATCAATTTTTTTGCGAAAGAATCAACCAACAAATCTTTTGGTTGTGGTACAACAAATACTTAACTAAAAATTTAAATACGATATCTTCAGTTGAGATATGAACATTTCAATGCATATATTTTAATCTCTATGTTCTACTTGTTAAGGTTTTTTTTAATATAAAATTATATAATTATATGATTATAATTATATACTGTTTGCCGATAATGCAATATCGTGCCATTTTGTATAAGCATGACACCAATATTCGCCGTAAATGACATTTTTCAAGAGGTTGAATTCTTTCGCCAAAAAGAATAATAAAACATTATCAATCCATACATATATAATGAGGTAGTAATTGCAAATTTATTTATATATAAAAAAGCTTATTTTATAATAACAGGTGAAATTGTTCTGACTCGCACAATTCCACTGATTTTGTGGAAGCTATTCAAACACATGGGACAAGGAAACAGAGAGTGCAATATATTCTATTGAAGATATTATTTTTTCTAATTAATTTCAAATAAGTATGGAAGGGTAATTTTTTAATTGAATCATAAATTTAACAAAAGAATTATGTCAGCAGATTACAAATTGTAGGGGATACATAGATTATAGCTAAAATTGTGTTATGTATAAAAGATTTCAGAAAAGTGACCAAATTTTATTTGTTTATTGATAATATTGCAATATATTGCCAAAAATGCAACTATGTGTGCCTGTGTGTTTCAAGTCAGCTGTTTAATTGTTTCACAAATTCAAACCAAAACAAAGTAAATAATAAAAACTAAGTTTGTTTTTAAGTTTATGTTAAAATGCTAAATATATGTTTTACTGGACGAAAGATTAATTGTGGGTTATCTACGCGTTTGCCGTCAACCATGGGGCAGATTTCCACCAATGCGATTGCAGGAAACAAGCCGGTTACTAATGACGCTGATAATACTATACCGCCAAGGAAATCCACAATTAAAATGAATGGGTGGCAATTGCACAGCTATGGAGATTTGGAAGAGTTGCAGCATACGAATAATTTAAAAATACCGAAAATACGCTGCGCTTCTGATTGCTTAGTACGAGTCCGTTGTACTACAGTGAATCCAATTGATGTAGCTATGTTGAGTTAGTAATCGTTTTTAAAAATTTAATAAGTAATTGTAATTAAAAAGCAAACTTAGAAGGTTATATTTTAACTTATCTTTAGAAGGCTATGGCTCAAAAGTATTGAATGTAATGCGCTGTAAGCCAAATGAAATTGAGTTTCCTTTAATATTTGGAAGAGAGTTTAGTGGTGAACTGGTGCAACGTGGTATGGGAGTAAGTCCTAAATTACCCATAGGTGCTCGAGTTTGGGGAGTAGTGCCATTACAAATGAATGGTGCACATGCGGAATATGTGACTGTGCCTGAGTATTGTGTGAGTTCATATGGTATAATTGTATGGTTCGTTTTAAAAACGTTGCAGTGTTACTGTTTTTGCTATTTCAGTTATCAACAGCACCAGCAAATTTAACGAATGAAGAAGCTGCATCTGTGCTGTATGCAGGATTAACTGGTTGGTCAGGTCTCTATATTACTGGTGGTATAGGTGGTTTATGTGGAGCACTGTCAGCTACTGGGGGTGGAAATTATAAGCGTGTACTTGTTCTTGGTGGCTCTGGCAGTGTAGGGTCTTTGGCTATACAAATGCTTAAGTCACAAGGTGTTCAAGTACTCACAACTTGTAGTGAAGATGCTGTAGAAATGGTAAGATGTATGGGTGCTGACTATATTGTGGATTACAAAAATCCTGTTGAAATGGATACATTGCGCGACTATGCACCGTATGATATTATATTAGATTGCGCTGGTCAAGGCGCTGATCACGTAGAAAAAATAAATTTGAAATTCCGGCAGTATATAACATTTACATCACCCCTTTTGCGTAATATTGATAGCTCTGGTATGGGTCTGGGCTTGTTTAAAAACGCAGCTAATTTAGTGGAAACAAATGTTAAGTCGCTAAGCAATAATGGCGGATTGGTCAAATGGGGTTTCTTCACACCATCACCAAATGGCATATTGTTTCTGAAGAAACTGATTGAACGACGGAAGGTACTTTATTTATCTATTAACTTAAGAAATTTTTTGAAAAAGTCTTTTACAGTTGTTGCCTTCAATAGATAGCACATTCAAATTTTCTCAATTACCAGAGGCATTCAAAAAGGTGCAAGATGGTCATCTACGTGGAAAGGTTGTAGTTATCGTTAGTTAACGTTAAAAAATATATTTTGTTCTTTTGCATAACATTTTGAATATTTTAATTAAAAGTTGTGGCTGATTAATAGATACGTTCTGTAGTAAGCATAACCTAGTATGTTTTTAGGTGATAAACTTTACATACATATTTTTAAGTAAAAATAATTTAATAAGATTGTTGGACGGACAGACGGTTTGTTTATATTGAATAGTATATTTTAAATAAATTTACTAGAAAAATTACTACTTTTTCTATTTTTATAAATTTATCATATATATTTAATGGTGAAAATATAAAATGAAGTTAAAGTATTTTTAAATCGTACAAAAATAGCTTAAAGCTTGTCTAAAAGCGCAGCACAGAAGACATGGCAAATAATTGAAATATATTGCTGATTGGTTATTCTATACAAATAAATACAGCTTCAAGTCCATTTACCAGTCCAACCGCCCGCAAAAGAAATTAAAAGCCTAACTTGAATTCTTTAAGTTAATTAGTTTGTTTTTTATTTACAAATAATTTTTTGTTTTTTGTTTTCAATCTTAAATCAAAGACATTGAATTATTAAAATATATATGGCTATTTTCGAAGAAAAACAATAAGTTATAAAAAATATATACTTTTCATACACAATTTTATATAATTCATTAATTGGTATATTTGTAAAAAGTTAAGTTGTTGTATTTATCGTTTTTGCAAATAGATACAAGATATCATCCGAAATGATTTTATAAGTTCTGGATTAAGGATGCATTTTACAATGGAAATTCCTTTTTTATTTATTTTCATTTGTTTTATTTGGTATTATCGTTTATATGACCGGTTAAACTGATATTTCTTGACTTCATTTTCTAAAGTTGATTTTTGATTCTCAAAAATAATAATATGAGAGTATATTAGAACAGCATAACAAACCAAATTAAGTAAATATCAAGAAATGACTAATGTGTTTTGGCAATGCATACACAATACATTGTGATACAATTACAGTAAATTTGAGATACTCGTTTTTCTTGGATAGAAAGATTAGTACTTGTAATTTATATGGCTTTAATAGCTTTGTTAATATTGTATTATTACAACAACGATTTAATGTTATGGAAAATATAATAGGAGTAGTAGAAAATTTAAAAATGTTAAATGATTGAAATATGGATTTTCATAATTTTTTTCATTTCATTTTATATCTTAAAGCAGACTCCAAAGATTCGTTACTATAAATGAAATATCTACATTGTTGATTAAAACACTGGCAAAAGTTTGTATTTTTGAAATTAAGTTAACGACAGAAGATAAGAGGTAAGGCTTGAGTTGTGTTATAGGTTTCATTTATTTTATTTATTTATTTTTAAGAATATAACGTAATTAGTCACTGAACAGCTATAACAAGGAAACTCTAGCTGTTAATTGGTTTTGTACCAAAAGTACTTAAAAAAATAATTATTTCAAATGTTACGATAGAGTGTTTCTCTACATTATAAATCATTAGCTATTTTATATTTTATCTTCATAAGTTTTATCATACTTTTAAATATCAATCACTACGTTTACGCGTAGTGATTTCGATTTTAAGATCGCGTAAACACCCTAAACTGAATTTAGTTTAAAAGCACTCTTTTAACTTATTAACATCACTTTTTGTAGTTTAACATCACTTTTAGTAAGAAATGTTACTATTAAACATTGCGTAAACACCTTAGGTACAAATAATTTAAATTTGAATTTTATTAAAAATAACACTTTGTCAAAGGATAATAATCAAATAACTAAAAATATGGAGAAAAAAGGGAAATAAAAAGAAAAAATTGAATGAAAGAGGAGGAAGAATGTTTAATTAAAATGTTTGGGGAAAAAGAAATAATTAAATTGTTGGACGGCAAATAATATAGAAAAATTTTTTAGTGAAGAAGCGGAAAAACATCGTGAATGGGAAACCAAAATGCTGGAAGAGCAACGTAAGCATAATGAAAATTTGGTGCGTAGTAGCAATGAAGCGATTGAAAGTGCAATTAAAAGTCTAATTGCATCCCCGAATCTAAATTAATTAAAAATATTCAATTTTTATTTTTAATTCTCTATTTTGAAATTTTATTTTATTTTAATTTTTAATTGTGGCTTCATGTTATATTTAAAACATTTTAATTTAGTTTAAGTTAAGTTTATTATTTTTAATTATTTAAATTTGCTATTAAGCTCAAATTGTTATTATATTGCTAGTTATAAATAAACGTATAAATTAATTTATTAAAAATTGGTTTTCTATACATTATTTTTTTAATTGCTTCTATGTAGCAGTGGAAATTTTCTCGCATAAGATGTCCGGACGAAAAATTTTGCCGATTGTACATATGTTCAGGTTGAGGATATTCTACAACCCATGAGGAATTATAACGTTGTTTAGATATTGGAAGAATTCCGCACGCTATTATCATATGTAGCATGTTGTAAACGTCCAGGTCGCTCTTTTTATAAAGTATTCTCCATCTTTCTTTGATTTCTTTAAAATGAACATTTTTGTTTACCGTTTAACAGCTGACTGATTGACAACTACCTTAAAAGTGTATTTAATTCTTGTGCGCAAACGCTCTAAGAAGATTGATATTTTAAATCCGACCGTTGCTTTTATGCTTCGCACCCATAGTTTATTGCTTATATATACGGTAACAACTATTTAATAGTGTAATACTATAAAATTGTGATAATTATCTATACTTATTGTCTTTTAATAACCACTTAATATTATGTTACTTATAATAACGTTTGCTCACTCAAATCGACGGTATAAGTAAGAAGGCGTACTAATGTGACTATTGATATATTCGGACATTCTGTAATTATTTGGGTGGTGAATCTAATCCGTTTATTCTATTTTAGCTCTATTTTTAGAAACAAATTAGACTTTCGACAGCACTTTGTTCTCAGTAGCTCATTTTATTCGATATGAACGATTTATAAAAATTCCATACCGATTTTTTTAGAGAAATGGTGCGTTAGCTGAATACGTCAATTTTGGCTTTGCTAGGCTGCGTATTAGGAAGATATGCTATGAGATAGAGCATGTGACCCATAATATAGGGTCAACCCAATAATTGCTTTTGTCGGGGTTGTTGCTCTTTGAATGAGGAATAAACTGTACTTCATCTCATGTCTCAATGAACAACCTTATAACTATAATATAAAATCGTATTAAAAGTGTAGGTACAGTTAAATTATTTGGCACTAAGAAACACGCATAAACCACAGACCATAGTCCATGATAATGATTATGTAGCATAATTTTTCTCTTATTTTGCTAATCATAAAAATTTTAATTTTTTCAATATAAATTTTACTCCGTTACTTCATATCTTGTAGAACTGTTCGTTTTAAAATAAATAGCTGATATAAAACTTGTTATCATATAGTTGGCAGAGGGTGAAGCATAACTTGACCGATCGTCGAGGGTTTGGGAATTGTCCGTATAAATATAATACTCAACGTTAATCCATACAAAAAGTCGAATGGTGACGATCCATATGATCTTGGGTCACGATTAACAACACCAAAACGTGGAAATAGATGTCCAGAAATTTGGTGCCAAAAAAGCCAAAAAAATAACATGTTATGGGCTTTGTGTTCCTGTTCTGTTAAAACCATATATCTTTAACGTCCTTTTTTTGAATTTCATGCAAAAAATATTGGTAATCATGTAACTGTAACGTTTAGATTGTAACGTTTGATGATTTGTTTCATACCGTTATCTGTAATGGTCTTTCGATATTGACTAGTACATTTTCTTTGCCTCATGCAAGGTCTAATAACTGGAGAAAATTTGAAGTAAAAGAACATTACAATTTTTGTAGAAACTTTAATGAATGACTTGAACGACATTCTGTTACCATATCAGGACACTGACAAGGCAGATGTTATTGTTGTTTAGTCTCATTTTATTGTGGGATAATGTATTTTTGTATTTGGCAAGATTCTTGTTACTAGTTTGCCCTGATTTACCAACGGATTGAAATAATGGCGCCTGTTCTAGTCAACTTTATCCACTATGCTTTATGCTGATATAGTTTAGTTATCAAAACATTAAGGTTTAAAATTGTTCATTTTTAACAATACCCTAAACTAAAGTGATGTTAATGTCATTAAGCGTCATTACTAATGAATTCTGGATTAAATTTATCTAGCTGTTCCAGTTCTTACTTTGTTAATATCTCATTATATTGTTTTATTCGTAGAAGATTACATATCAGAATATGGTATGTTATTATATTCAAAAAATTATTAACATGTGTTTTCTAAAATATATTTGTTTTTATTATTTTTTCGAATCGTCGATAAGCAAAGCCGCGTATGGTTATAGGGAAGTCCTATATACTTATCACAATTGTGCGAGCACAGGAAACTTTTGGTTCATATATTTTAAGCTGTCAGGAGTGACAAGTCATTTCAATATATAGTCCGAACTTGTATCTTTTCAAACAAATTAGTCATTTTAGTATTATGAGCATTCCTGAGTTGAAAATCCCAATATTACATTGTAAAATAGTGTTACATGTGTCCAATTTAAGCTATTGATAGAAACAATTATAATTTAGTAATTATAATTTAGTAAATGGTATTAAGAGTGTCGCGCGATTTTTATACAGTCGACTCATAGTTTTATCAAATATAAAAATGCTATTAATGGTTCAATGGTTCACCAGTTCAATCTTTGTGTGTCTCGTCTTAGTCTCATTCATCAATATTCAGCATTTTTCACAAGTACAAGTAGTAAATTAATGATAAGAAGTGTTCACACTTTTGTCTAGTGATACGTGCTGTACGTTCTATTATAGCAACCCAAAAGATTTGACAATAAGCAAAAATAATTCTTACATATTCGTGCATATGTATATAAACATTTGCGCATAATATGTATTATGCGCGAAAAAAATTCAAAAAATCCAAAATTTATAAATAAATAAAAATCAGACGATATCAAAATTCTGGCGAAGACAAAACCAAAACAAAAATCAGCTGATAAACTATAGCTACACGCACACAAATGTTAGGTGTGCTTTCAAATTGCCCATATGCCCAATTTAGATGGCACGCTCTCGAGCATATGGTCTTCAGTTTGTATATTTTGGAATGATTTGCGTAAGCTTGGTGTTAACCTTTTGTACTTCGGATGTCTTATAAAAGCGTTTAATGTTTGCGATGACTTAAGCTTAACACTGCTTCATAGTTCTTGTTTTGAAATAGAA